GGGGGGGGGGGGGGGGGGAGGGAGGCTGCCATGAAGGAGGATAGAGAAGGGTGTCGACCTCGAAGGGCTGGCGATTTTCGAGGAAAAAATCAATTTCATCTATTAGATTTTTACAAAAAAAAAAATCGATGTGATTAAATGATTAGCGTCAAAAAATTGTACGTATTTATGCTAAAAGGAACTAGAGACGGGCGGAAAGGATGCAGTGGCGTGTCGTGAAGGATGATCGATTATCGATATTTCTCCATTTGAAGCTGTAGTAAAGAATCGATTATCAAGGTGTTCGTTGCGAACACCTTGATAATCGATCCTTTTCCATAGATTTAAATGGCAGATCAATCGATATATCGCAAAGCATGCCACGCCACTGAAAGGATGGGGTGAGCTCGTAAAAGCTGTTCTAGAAACAATGTAGAAGTGGGCGTGATTTCTTCGGGCAAGATGGAAAAGTGGAAATTAACATTAAATCAAAAGGAACTGAGTGGCATAATGGACGTATTTCTGCCAAACGGAACTATATGCATTAAAACATGAGCCCAGAGAACCATGAGAATATATGAATAACAGGGCTCACGTCATAATGCACATAGTTCCGTTTGGCAGATACGTCCAAATATGCTATAACTCATGATCCCTGGGCATGTGACAACAACGTTATAGACGAGGCTCACGAGTTAAAGATCCCCGACCGTCTTACCTAGTCCCGGTCGTCGACGCTGACGTCACCGGAGCTGTATAATTCCCATTCATTCCTACGGCCCTCAACTAACGAGCACACTTCTTCTTTCCCATCCGTCCCTGGTTTCTCTTGCCATAAATACGTCCGATTAATTCTACTCAGAATTTTGGGATCGAAATGATGAAAAATTATCAACATGATGTCGTTGGTGACGCTTTTAAAAATTGAACCAAATCTGCATGAAAGTTCTCACAGACTGATTGCGGTAAACGCGCGGTCGTACAGACAGGAATTTGGAAATGTAGCCAACGTGTGTTACAATTCAGAAAACTGAAAATTTCAACAGACCCGGAACATGTCTACAGTTGCCTTCCTGAATGATCGTAACTAGTTTTGTACCAAATAGCATACCTCTTTCAGGGAAAATTGTTTACGGATGAGCTTCTTCCCTCTGTATTGAGACTTTCAGTTTCCTAAATTGTAACGCACGTTGACTATATTTCCAATTTTCTGTCTGCATGAAAGTTATTTGATTTTAATATATTGTAGGGGTGCAGGGTGCGTGAAAAAGTGGATACGTTCTCAAAAATTTGAAAGGAGGTACATAGGGACAATGCTTAAGGGTCGAAAGCCGAAATTCAATTGAGAGCAGAAAAAAAAAACTTCTTTTTTGAAATTGGATGGAAATTTTGCGGAAAGCCGATGAGAAAAATGTGAAAAGTCGAGGCGGGGGGAGGGGGCATAAAAAGCACAGACTTTGGCAGATCTGTCCCCTGTTTAACTGTTTTCCGTTTTAAATCGTTCGCCGTTTCGAAAAATCGATACCTTCAAATCGAAGCAATGTTTTCAATTATCCGCGTCAAAAATTGATATTTTATCACAATCTATTTGAGGCCTACCCAGATGATCACACCAAGCTCTACGATTCCGTCGTCTCGACATGACCGAAGTTTCTGACGAGAATTTTAAAGATCAGTTGATTTTCATTCTTACAGTTGAAGTTTGAAAAACCAGGGCAGTCTGCAACTAATTTCCTTTTTTCGTCATTCCGTTTCCAATCTCACTACAAATTTTTCATGTGGATGTATTTATGCTGAAAGGAACTAGGATTCACACAAATCCCATGCACATACAACCTTTAAGCAGAAATACGTCCATGTGATCAACCCCCAGGAGAAATATTTTTATTAGTGCCGTTAATGTCAAGTTGAATCGAAAAATCGGATTTTGAGTTTTGAGATTTTATAGGAAAGTTCTCTCCAACCCCAAAAATTAGCTGCCACAACTTGAGTTCAATGTTGATACTGATAAAAAGCTTAAAAGGTCGCATTCTATTTTCACGGAGAAAAGAGATAGGGGGTGTTGGCTGATATAGGCATTTCCAACTAATAGGGGGTACCATGATTTATGGGATAAATTAGGTCACTAATCCAATTGTGCTATACCCCAATTTGAGTTGCGGTAGTACCACAATTAACTGGAAGTGCCCATATCATCCGACAAATTTGGGTAGTACCACAAGTTTAAGGGATAATCCCTAACACTTTTTTTCCGGACTGGAAAAAAAAACACATTGGATCTAGAGTCCAGACTCTTGAAAACATTGACAAGAAAAAGGACTCTTGATTCAATCAGATTTAAGCTTAAATCAAAAAGAAATCCGGTCAAATTAAGAGGCTTGGTTCTTGATTTAAGCTTAAATCTGATTGAATCAAGAGTATTTTTCCTTATTGTCGAGGAAGGTAATGAGGTATCATTAGGCGATTGTAGGCGAGGTGACGGATCGACGGGGGCGAAGAGGGGGCGAAGGAAGAGGAGCCAGGGTGCAAAGACGAGGGCGAAAATAATAATCTGGAGAAAAGCGAAAAGCGAAGAGCGGGCGCATGACAACAAAACGATGATTAACACAGAAGAATTATCCGGCGAGCAAACAGTGTATTTAATTTCGGTCCAACAACAATGTCAACAGCAAGTTTCCTCACTCGGGATCATTCATACGCCCGGTAACCGGGAACCAGGTCGCGCGAGAGAAACCCGAGAGGGAGGGGAGAGAGGAGAAGCGAGGGCTCGAGGAGGAGAGCGAGAGAAATTTTGTAAACAGGCAATAAAATTGGTGGGTGGCTGATATTAATTTTAACGTTTTATCAAAGATATTCATTTAAGTTAAACAAACTTTGGTTTGGAAGGGAGTTAGCGGGGCGGCGGCCAATGGGAGCCGGCGCCCGCCACGTGCTCGGCCGAGGCCACGCCCCCGGAGCCGCCTCCCTCTCGACTCGCCATGGCCAAACGGGGATGTAGGCGCCGAATCCCCGGCCCTGATCCCTGCGACTCCCAAAGCGCGAGCCCGTAACCGTCCCGTTTAGCGCCAACACGCTCCACCAGATCCTTTTCACTGATTTGACTTTTATTGCTCCCGCTTCTCCGGTCTCCGAATCTCTGCGCTCCCGAATTTCCCCGCGTCTATCGCTCTGTTCTGCTCGCCCTCGACCAGGATCCTCAAACTTGAGAAATCCGAAATCCTTACCGATTCAATCGGTCTTATTGCCTCGAGTTTGGTTTGATTTTTTGTTTGCGCGACGCGTTTGTGATCATTGTGTGGACGAACGCGGTCAACTCCGACCCACTTGTGTTGTTTCAACGTCGATCTCCGGTTTTAATTTGGTTGTAATCAAAATCATCCCATCCGAAGATCTTGATATGGCGTTCGGCAGGATTTGTGCTTGAAATTAACTCGACGACCGGTGGATCCATCTTTTACGAAGCAGTTACTTGAAAAACAGAGGTTAGTAATTTATCATTTCATTTTCGAAATCTACTCCCGCGCTATTAGTAATTTCTCCGTGGATTTTCTCTTGGTCTAAGGCTGCGACGTTGTCCTTGCGAACCTCTGATGATGCACAATGAACTGGAAACTCCAGCATACATTTTGGTAAAAGCATGTGCATGTGCGCTCCCGTTTTTCTTACGTTCCGTAACGTAATTGTACGTTACGCACGTTATCGTATGTTCGGTAAATTCTCGCGGCTATCGCTATTGATTACATGCATGCGGACATTGAAATCTTCGTGCCCTGAGGAAGAGGGGCTCATTTTCATCATGGAAATCGAAGAACTGCTTGCTGCCACTGTTTTTTGAGGTTGGGAGGGGGGAGGGGATGCGGCATGAGTATTTTAGAAGAAAGCTAAGCCCCTGGCTAAACCCACTTCAGTAATAATCAAGAATATTTACGGTTAATTGAATCGACGTATGCGAAAACGTCCGTTGTTCAATACAGGGTTTCATATATGTAGTTGTGGTGGGTTTCTTTTGTCCCGTTTAATTACACTTAAGGGATTATTTATAAAATTCTTCTACATTCCTAACGTCTTAAACCATCTTGCGTCATTGCGTTACAACCAAATTGTCCTCTCAAATTCTGAAACACTGTCTTGGACATCGGACGTTTTTGCATACGTCGATTCAATTTTTTTTTTTTTTTGTAGGATTTTCATCCTATCCTAAACTCTTAAAGTCTCCAAAAGTTAATAATAAAAACTTGAATGAGGGTAAAAGTAAGATGATGACACGTCTCAGCTAATAAAATTTTACTTCTTTATTGACGGATGTCACAGTTATTGACCCAATATCTTAAACTCTCTTTATAAAATCAAATGGTATGGAATTAACAAACGACGGTAGAGATTTATCCAAGTTCCTTGATTAATATAATTTTCACTTCTAATGAGACATATTTCTTATTGATCTTTTTTTACAAAATAAGATTACTGCCCCCTGAGTTGTGATATATTCATCGTCATTTATTGATTTTTGTTGACGTATCATCATGAAAGATTCAAATGTTATAGGACGTACCTACTTTTTGACAAATGTGGCTATAATGAAGTTGCAAAATGAACCCTAAAACCGAAATATAGAAGGCATTTAAAGGGGTACATTTTTCATTTGTGCTTTAAAAAGGAAAAACCACCCCCCACCCCACCCCCATTATCATTAAAACCAGTGACAGAAATAGAACTACGAAGAAACCGGTCCATGTTGTTAAAATATAAGTTTTATGGCAGACGGATTTTTGAAACCGAGTTCCATCAGTTTTCTGGCGTTTTTGTACAAATTCGTAAACATACTTGGGACATTCTTCCGGGCTTCGGGGAAACCATCTATACTTTTTAACTCCTTTCACCGCCTCTTGGAGCCCTATTAATCTAGTAAACATTATTTAAGTATACCTTCCTAATACCACGGAAAATTGACTCGGAGATTTAAACAACTGACTTGTCTAATTCCAATTTAACTCTGTGGGGCGACACAATTATATTCAGCAAAAATGTCGGTATTGAAGAAGAATATCTACAGGTCAATCTCATTGAGCGGCCAAGATAACAATGCGAAAACACGGCAGAGGATTTTGTAGCTTTGTAACACTAAGTTTATATAGAAAGTATTACACGGACTAAATAATAAGGTAAGACTGCTGATGTTTTTTAACAGCCCTGCATTCCTTTCATGCAGCTTAATCACCAAAACTTTGGCAAAGTTGCGTCGAGATTGACAGTGCGAAATTGTTCGCTACTTTTGCATCTAATTAAACACCTGTTGAAGAGACAAAACTGCACACTTGGCCAACACGAAATGCTTGGGATGTACTTAAGAGAAGTCCTCATTAATTTTAAGTACATTCAAGAGATATCCTGATCACCAGAAATCAAAATCGGGATCCGTCACTCAGATAATATTTCATATTCATAGAATATCCTTCAAAGTAGATAATGGAAAAAAGTTCATTTCCCTATGTAATATTTAAAATTGCATCCATAATTTTAAGTACATTCAATAGACCTATTTTCCTGATCACCAAAAATCAAAATCGGGATCCGTCGCTCAGATAATATTCCATAGAATATCCTTCAAAGTAGATGATGGAAAAAGCTCATTTCCCTATGTAATATTTAAAATTGCATCCGTTCAGCCACAACTTTTTTTCGAGAGGAGATTGAAGCTTAAAATGTTGGCAAAATTTTAAAAAATTTGCAATTTTGTGCTATCTTCATACGCTCTAGAGGTCCACTCTCGCGCGGCCACTACACACCTCAGCTTCCAATATCCCGTAAAACAATGCAAAACTTGTGTCATAATTCGAGAATTTTATGAAATGGACTCGTCTGAAGCCAATATTCAAAATTCCTTGCTTATCGATTCACCAGATTTCTATTTACAACTCGGATATCGTTTTATGATTGGTGTATCCTTTGGTTATGCTTGGGTAAGAATACCTCTATCAGTGTTTTCCTCCTTCTTCTATTTACTTTTTTAAAACTAATGATATATCTAATTAAGATGCAGCCTAATTTATTTCCCTAAACTTTTCGAGTTAAGTTTATAAATACGACAGATATGCGACAAATCGTGCCTGTATTCCTGGGGTGATATTCTCTAAATAATGACCGATATCGCCAGAATCCTACTAAAATCAATCGGATTTTTTTTTTTTCGCGAGGCTTCACATTATACAAAAACGGAACCCATGTTAGGTTCTGCATATTTCCTCCTCTCCTTTCTTTCTGTCTTATTTTACTACTACTACTTTCTTTCTTTTTTTCTTTCTTTCTTTTTAACTTTCTTTACTCAAAATTTAACCTTCCCCCTCAACCCTTCTGTATTTTCACTGATGTAACCTTGATTTCAATGTGAACCCACAGAAATGTACATGGCCTTAGATGCTAAAGCACCGCTTTAAAATAAACTTATCTTATACTACTACTTTCTTCCTTTTTTCTTTCTTTAAGAAATAATTAATTCTTTTTTTTATTTTTACTTTGCACAAATTATTCATTACTTTTTCATTTATTTCCTACTTATTTTTCATCGGAAGCAACTATTGGTCCATAAGCACAAGGGGGGGGGGGGTTCCAGAAATGAGCAGTTGGCGAAGAGGCAATCCATGATACAGATAAGATCATTTCCGTTGGATGATGTCTAGAGTTTTATTTATCAAAAAGTACGAAAGACTTGTTACATCATGAAATCATAGGGAAGACGCACGAACTTGAGTGCATGAAAAATCATCCCAGATTCGGAAAAACTTTACTGCGCGGACCAAATTGAATTTCGAGTCAACTGGAAGAAAAGTGGTCATGAAGTCGCGAGCACTGTAGTGGCATCTTAAAGCTGTGAGCCACGCTGAACAGTTTTGACACACACCGTGTCTGATCGTCTTACAAAACCATCCTCTCTGACTCAAGTTGAACGTGCCGAGTCTCAAGCTTTGACTGAAAGAAATTCGAATGTTGGTAGCTGTATGTGAAGCCGCGCGGTTTGGTCAAAACTTGACAACGCAACGGAAAGCTCTAAAAGCATTTTTCGCTCCGCTAACCTCTTAGGTTACTGGAAATTTGAATCAAAAAGTCTTGAAATCCAACCTTCTAACAGGACATTAATACTGTAAGACACAAGATGAGGAGTGGCTCAGTCGGCGAAAAAAAAAATCTGTTTGACTTAGGTGAGGTAGCGAATAAGTCTTTCACTTTCGGAAAAATAGAGGGATCATGAGTAGCATGCATTCGTTTCATAAACAGATAGCTGCAGAGTTTCTATGAAGGAACAAATAATAATCATGACTGATATTTCCTCTATATGCAAAAATGCCGTACCCCTAACAATTCTCATACACCAGAGTCGGTCATTTTTACCTTTAAAACTTGTTTTGTAATGTTGAATTCAGAAAACGGAATCGTCTACCTTCCTCACATTGCGAGACAAGTGCGTCAATGATGTTTTAAATTTTTAAAGAAGTCACGTGGTATTTAAACGATTCTTACGAATGTAAGAATCGTAATGACTGAATCGCAATGACGACGATAGTGTAATCTAGGTGAATTATTTGTATGTGACTGTTTAGGGGAATCATTCGAGATACATGGTGATAATAATTTTAGTACTTGTCTGCTTGACCATTCACGAGTTTTATTCCTTATCGTCTTTCGACTCGGGAAGTATGCATAGGTATGTATTGTATAAATGAGGATGACCATCGCATGTCATTAAACTTAGCAAGGATTTTAATCGTGTATTATGAGATAAACTGCAGAGAAATGTGTAAAACATTTAGTTTTCTTGAAAATATATTACTCGTAGAACATTTACCAATGTACGTCATTTTGGTTAGGTTTCGTCTACCTATAAATAGTTTCGAGAATTCCTCAACTCTTTCTATACATGAGTTAGCCCACTGTTATGCTCCGAACAAAATCTCGATTGCGCTTATGCAACTGTCTGCTCATATCTCATTTCACACAAAAAAGTAGGCACACTTTTTTTTTTCATTAAATGTTCATGATTTTTTCCCGCTTATTCAAACGTATTTCCAATTAGTTTCCTCATAAAATTAAAATTTGTAACAAGAGATTTTTGAATGTTGCAATGGAGTTACGAAATTTTTGACTTTATCCACCGATATAACTTGAAGCACTCGGAGCGGCCCACTTTTCAGCCCTCCGTTTGAGAACAATCCGCCTGACTGATGGTAATTGTGTAATTGCTTCAAGCAATGGTGGGTGTAATAATGAGATTATGACAGGATGTGATCCATTACGCGGTAATAAACTGTATTCAAGTCGCTGTTTCAGAAGTAACTCGAGCATCCTACAGTTTCAACTTCCTTGCTTATAGCATGTGCTCCTTTTCTCTCAAGATGCATTTATTTCGAGGAAGATTCACCAATCTGCGGTTGCCATTGAATTCCTATGAATAAACCCCCTCAAAGTGGGATTTTTCCCATCAACATGT